GATTGTCAGAATAGAAATCGTTTGAAATCAAGGATCGTTGATTATAGTCTAATCGCAATCGAGTAGATTAGCTACTCTCTTGTAAAGACTTCAGTCATAGCATTGAGAAATATTCACATTTTTGTAGAGACGATAATGGCGGATCTCAATCGGAATTTCGTTGAGACTGATACAAAGAGAAATCTATCAACGAAATCTTAATGATTTGGGTGTGAATTGATTTCTACTCCTTACCCTTGCCCAACACCCATACAACACAACACATCAGGGAAAAATATCTAACAAAACGAAAGAAAAGGAGCAAATATATATCGATAATACTTATAACATTTGTCTCATGGCATGTCTTATCTACAGGCTATAACAGTAAGTATGAGTAAATGTAATTCGGTTAGTTATTAAAGAGAAACACGTCTTTTTCTTTTATTTGTTCCATTGATAGTTAAAACCATATTATTTAAATAAAGACTAAATTACGATCGATGTAATCTAACGCTGCAGTTGAAAGCTTTTATCGCCCTCACCCTCACAAGACTCATATCAAATCATATCTTCTGATACCTAAGCTCGATGACAAATTCGATCGATCCGAGCTTCTATACAGAAATATCTGACTAGTTAGATTTCGAGCTAGCAAAATCTGAGAGCTGGATAGTGAAATTATCTGATTGGCTGAATTTCTGGCTTGAAAAAACCCGATTGGTTGGTGAAAAATGGACATTGACCTTCGTATTTATTTCTTTTATAGTCTTAGTTATAAGTCAGCGTCTGCAGTTGTTTTCTATTGAATAAATCGCATTCGTATGCTCACTGGCTTGAATAGACAAAAAAAAAATCATACATTTTCCGATTATGAGAACTTTTCTCTGAGAAAAGCGAACTATCAAACAAGTTTATTACACATAAACCATTTATATATATAAGTAAAAACAGGCCAAAATCAATTTCATATCATTAGTCCTGATTAATTACCGCACCTGGATGTCGTGCGTGTTGTTTCCATCGCATATGAATTTCTATAATACCATAGAAAACCATGCTTACTGTTAAAAAGCTAAAAAGAATGATAAGTGTAAGTTCAATAGTTATATAACTAGCATACTAAATAAAAAATTAAAAAAAAACAATTTTTTAAATACAAAACAGTATAAAACATATTTACACCGTACGTAACAAGAGAACCAATTGCTTTCCAAAGACGATATTTTGCTATAGCACTTGAATCAGTTTTTGAATAAAGGACAGTATAAGCAGCTAAAAGAAATGAATAATTAATGAAAAGATCAATAATGATATAAAAAGAATTCTACCAACGACTTGTGATTGCCAAACAGCATCAGCAACACCCCAAACACCAGCAATGATAAACAGAACATATGTTTGATTTTCAAGTGGTCTCCAAAAGTACATGACAATAATCGACGCATAGTTAAGTATGGCAGCGATTATAAAACATCCGATTCTACCAATGTATTTAACAAGATCACCAAAGATATAACTACACAATGCATTACATATACCAAAACAAATCGTTACGAGACCAATATAGCTATTCAGAAACATAAAATAGATTGAGATTTGAGAAACTATCAGATATATATTTATTTCATTGAGAGATTTATGATTTTTCCTGTAGTACAATATCTGTTCCTCAAAAAATATTCTTAGATAGGCAAAACTTTTACCGAATACCAACAAGACAAGTAACAAATGCCTAAAATAATAACTTTAAAATCTAATCTTGTTTAAAGCAATTTCCATACTCGAGTAAACTGTGCTGTTAGAAAAGAATTTTCCATTGTAGTCCACATTGTTAATGGAATAAGAAGTAATTGATCAATATTTTTCCATCGAAATAAAGATTGAACAACTTCAAGACCCTTTTTTAATGATTGTGCAATAGGTTCTATAAAATAAAAATCTTTTTTTTTTCATTGACATTTATTTAATATCATTATTTACGTGGTTTAGTCGGTCGGATTTGATCAAGAAATAACAAGAGAATCATTGAAAAAATACCCATTCCAACAAATATTCCACACAAAATATAACGCTTTAATTCATAAAAATTATTAATAAAATAAATATTAAACAAAATCAAATAATTTACCGTTAAATCATTAACATGCGGAGCTTTATCAGTTTCATTCTTTGATAATGGATCAAAATAAATACCACAATTATATTTCTCTGGATTGTTTGATTGATTAAGTATAAAATAAGATATTAAATTTCCCCAAATATTACTTGTACCATAAAAAGCAAAGAAAATTCCAAAAAATAAACTAATAATATTTTCAACTTTTTTTTGTTTATTATGTGCATGATAACGTGCTATACAACTTATATAAGTTGCTTGGCATGTCCACAATGGTGCAGAAGCAAGACCAAGACAAGCTGCACCTAAAACAAAATAAATTTATCGATTTAATAATTCATCAAAAAAAAAATATATATTAACTGATATACATGAATATTGGTATAGGTCGAATATTAGCACTAAGATATAAAATATAAGCAATTTCACCGATAACAATAGTCCATTTAAGTCCAAAAATATCACTTGAAATACCCGTAAGAAAAGTTGCACCAAACTATACATAATAATAGTAAGATTTTTCTTTATTAGCAAAGATTATTAGAATGTACTTACTAATATAAGAATATTGATAACAATGAGAGAATTAACACCAACATTACCTTTTGCATTTAAACTTGATTGAAGTGCTAATATGCCATTAAGGGCTGTGTACATTATCAGAAAGCCTAATGAGATAATTATTAAATTTTTATAGACTTTTCGAATTGAAAAAGGTGGGATGTCATCATCATTCTCATTGGTTTCATCGATGACTATTGGTACAATAGAAGATATAGAAGTATGAAAATCAATGGCAAGATTATCAACAATCGAAATGATTCTTGATTGATTTTCACTTGATGAACTTGTAAATGGTAAATTTTTTGGTATAATTTCAGCTGCATTTTCTATATCAGTCATTGTGTTGTTTTCAATGTGGAAGTATAATGACTAAAGGATTGATAAGAAAGACCAAAATTAATGTAAGAGATAATAGCGCAAAGAACAAAATCAGAGACCTTAGTGTTGACAAAAGTGACTCGTATTATCTGTACTCACATCACGTTGTTTTGTAAGAATGATCTGTGATACCTATGTCGTTATTTAAATGTTATGTTTTGCACTTTTCTTTTGATTTGAAGAGAGATTAAAAAAAAATAGTAAAAACATTTTTCCAATAAATATCCATTAACTTCTTTATTTTGAAATAATTCTATTTAAATAAAAACTTTTTTAAAAGTTTCTTGTTTTAATAATTACTCCATCTCTTGGTGAATCTTGTAAACGTTATTTTGTATTCGATGAGGATGTAGTCTTTTGAGTTGACTTATGAGCTGAGAGTGTAACATTAGTTATTGATCGTGTTATAGGTTGATAATGATTGTATAAGATCGAAAATTCTCTTATTATAGAATAAAAGATTCTTATTAAAATATTACTACATTTACTTTTATTTATTATAGATATTGAATTAAATCTCATGCATTATATCTTTCATACACAACTCATTGCTTTATCTATTTGATAGTATGGGACCGAGAAAGAGTTGACAATCAATTTCTAATGCCTCGAAAACTGTTACAGCTATTCTTAAACTGATTATCCACTTTGAGAATTCCGACTTTTCAATTTTTGAGAACTCTTATACATGTAAGCTAATCAAAAGAGCGTCCATGAGACCATCAAGAAATCGAAGCACTCGTAAAAATTTAAATTTTTGATCTGATGTCCTCTTCTTGTTCAGCATCATCTAAAAATCTCTAAATCCAAATTTTTAGCGCATTTGATCGAGTCAGTGAAAAGTTAGTTTGATTTTACTTTCTTGCATTCGCAAGGATATACGGATAATTTGATCAAAAAGCATTCCTATAAAGATGAGCGTTTTTAGATGACACGAGGGTGTGGGTGAGTGTAATTGTGGGTCGGTATGGGTACGGTTCGAGAGATGATTCAGAGCTTAAAGACCCACACTCCCACACCACACCCACACCCAAAAAGAATTTGCATAAGAAAAAGTGAAATAAAATGTCCCGATTTAGTCAGGACAATAACAGAAGAAAATGGTAATAAAAAAAAGGAAATAAAAGCACAACAATATTGTATTGCTAGAAATTCACAAACTTTGCGATTTTGTTATTCAACTTTGGCCAAAATAATGTTTATCACAGTCAAATATTTTTTTTTCAAAAAACCTGATAAATATCGTTATGTTTCTGATGTAGTATAGCTACATTAGTTTTCTTTTGTGAAGTCTTAAAATTCCCTCCTTCTTTCATGCAACAAATCTATAAAACTAACAGTTGATCATTTCTTTGCTTACATACGTCGGTTGTCTTCTTAGGCAAAGAATGCACCAATCGTTATTAAATTATATCTATTAACTCGATTAATATAATTGTCGTTCAAAATAGCAAAATATTCTAAAGATATAAATAGAAACTGTACAAAGTGACTTTCAATCCATACAGTTCATTTTTTGCTTAAGTGCACTAATGTGAATTTTTTTATACAATACGTTATTTAAGAAAAAAAATAGGGTATTTTGTTGAGGTTTTCTCAGTAAGTTTACTGAGCTGAGTACCCACACAAGTACTTGCTCAGTAAATTTACTGATGTGGGTACCCGACAAAGTACCTACCTCAGTATAATTACTGAAATTTTTCAAAGTACCCACATCAGGTACTCTGTTGAGACTTTCTCTAGAGTATTTTGAATGAGTAAGACGCTGACAAAAAATTACAAATTTCATGATCAATAAAATATTATTGAGATTCGATAAATACTTGGAGCAGGTAGATGCACATGAAATAATCACAAAAGCAGAGGATCGTCACGCATACAAATTTCATAAGCAGAGGAAGCGCAATGCACCATCCTAAGTAGGTCCTTAAATCGAAGATTGAGCAAATAAATGTGTTTATTAATCTTTGCGAGAGCACCCAGTACGGTCAACTAATTCACTAGGACATTGAATTTTGGAGTAGGTCATTGTAGGATTGTCAGCTCCTCGAAACCAATCGAATCTGAATAGACATCCATGTCGAATTGATTCAGGTAGAGAATAGCATTGGTCACGAGAAGAAATACCACCATAGCGTTGGCCCCAACCATCACTTGGTGCATTCCATTGACGTGAACATCCATTAAAATATCCAACACCTCCTCCAGGAATCTGTAAATCAAATTGATGTGTACCTACATCATGTCCACTATTAGTAACTTGAACAATCATTGTCTTTCCTTGAACTGGACCACTAGTAAAATGTAATATATAACAAGTACAACAGGTATCTTGTAAACTTTGTCCTGGAATAGTAGCAGCAGCAAATCCATAAGCGAATTGATCATTAACAGCCCAAGGTATATGATTGTTACAGGTAAAAGCATCACCTCCATCACAGCTACTACGAACATGGCCATTATTGTGTACAGAATAGCCATCTCTATGACAACTTTTCACATAAGTATTTTTGCCAGCTACATTGTCAGGCCACGCACAACTAGGTTTACAACAATCCCAGTAGCGAGTAGTTTTTCCTGCAGTTTGAGGCCATGTAGCAGACACATGATTGACAATTAAAAGTCCAAACAAAGTCAATGAGAAAATAATATTAACCATTGTATCACTTCGACTGTAGGTTTCCTTGTTCGCTTTGTAAAACTTCTGAAAAGAAAGAATATTAAATGTTGACGATTTGTGATCCTTTGCAACAAATGACCAGTGATATTAAATGGACCTATTGATCAGAAATGATCAGTAACTTCCATTCACTATGAAATAGGTGCTATATTCTATACTAAGACGAAGAATTAACATTTTTGAAGTTTTCAATCGTATATCTTAAAGTGTATGTTTAAAAGTGTGACAATCTATTTAATAATTTGAACAATTCAATTTCAAATAACTGAAACAACTTTGCTTTTTCGATTGTAATATACGAGTAAATACTTGAAATCGTTTCGAAGAAAATGTGAAACTACCTAGCTTTTAATCATTCACCAATGATGATCCGAAAATTCAAGACACTACTCTGCATAAGACTTATGAGATTATTTCAAATTTCAGCAATAATCTGGCATATCAAGTCAGAAAATCCTTCGTACAGTTTTGCTAATAATTACAAAAGCACAATCTAACAACTTATTTTCCTCGTTCTGAAAAAGAACATGTGTAGCGAATGCGTATTTCATAGCTCTCATCTAATGAGAAGTTGCTTCAAAGTATGATAATCAGCTGTTATCACCTATGAGTTTTGCACATTCTTCTATATGTTATGTTTCTGTTCTTGTCGCTACATCATATGTAATTATTTTCTTATTCTGTTTTCATTTCTATTTGAACGATATATTTTGTTTTATTCTCTCTTAGATATTTTTCTTTTTCGTCATAGGATATTATCAGATCCATCGTATTGTTCATAGAGCAATATTCTGTGCCCGATTTCTATTCATTATAAAAAGAATATGTATCGACCAGTGCACGACATAATCGCCGTTACTCATAAGAGTCTCGAACAATGACGTTTATTGAAATAATCAGATATTTTATTTCTGTTTTGACTGCATTAGTTTTTCCACATGACAAATAATTTCACATCTTTAATTCATTGCTATAATTTATTCAATTTTTCTATATCAAAATGGCTATATATATATATAAATGTTACAGAGAAAGTCACAGTTCAGTAAAAACTAAAAATTTTTCTTAAGACGAATTAAAAATAGAAGTGACCATTAAATGAAATTTTTAATTATCTTATTGAAATATAAAATTTTTTCTGAATTCTAATATCTTCTGTAATCCATATCCTGTTCGAACATTTGATTTATGTTATTCTCGTTCTGTTGGATTTGGGAACAGTAAAGAAAATAACTCTTTTAATTTAATGTCGACAAATTTCAACGTATAAACCGTATCTAATTTATTTTATTAAATGCCTCGTTCCATTCCAATGATGATTTATTTTTAATTTAATTCTATCTCAAATTATCCGAAATGTGATACTGGCAGATGGTGATATCTAATAATAACAGTTTTCTTTAACAGAAAACATGAAATCGAAATAAGAATTCTGAAAGTATTACGAAACGAGCATGAGAAAAAGTTGTTCCCAAAGGATACTACCTACGACACAAAAAAATAATAAAAGAGCATATTTTGTTAGAAAGACAGTTAAACGGTAACTTTATTGTTAACTATTTCATTGAATAATATCGAATTAATGTATAGAACATGGGTTTCTACTTAGTTAATGAATTCATCGTTTTTATTTATTTTTTGCTTTTATCTATGTTTCGTCACAATAAATATTGTTCAAGAAGAAAGATCAGGATTCGCGATAAACTAAAAAGAATGATCATGACTTTGACCATGATATAATTCATACAATCGTTACCAAAAATATGATCACGTAGGGTATTAGTACCGAGTACCTTATGTCTTCGCTATTTTTCAATGATAGCAATAGCATTTTAGAATGAAATAACTTCATAAAGTATTCGGATGATAATGATGATATTGCAAGAAAGAAAACAATTTACTATCGACTGTACCTGCTTTGTATGAAGGTGTGTGTGTTTTGTTTTGAAGAAGACGAAACAAAAGTTGAAGTAGTCGAATACAACAGTATATAAATTGATGAATGTTCTGATCCAGTATTTATATAGGAAAAGTTGAATTGTTATCTTATTTTATCATCGCAATAAAAAAATGTGGTCAGTAATGGTGAGATTTTCCTCATAATAATGTGGTATGATGACACAAAACAAACAACAAGGAAAAGGGAAAGGTTTAGAGAAAGATTATGTGTTGCAGCTTATTAGAAGATAGTGGGAATTTTTTCCGTTCTGATGACTCATTGTTTCATTCGCTGATGAAACCCGAGTAATTTCCCATCCAGCTAATGCTTATTCTTCTTTCTCTTTCCTTCACATAACGTCATATTGATAGTAAAGAAATATTTTTTTCTAATCATCTCTATCTCATTTTTTAATTTGTCACAAATCTCGGTGATATGAAAAATTTACTGTATAAATACAGAAGTAAATTCTAATGACTCCATTCATCGATGCATCACCATTGGCGAATCATTTTAAGAAAAAGTTTTGCAATATACCATTGTACCTATGATTATGAACATATTATACAATCGAAGCTTATGATAATTGAATATATAATAACGATTATCAATGAATGGGTAGTAATATTCATTTTTCTTAAAATAAAACAATTGGTATTTATGTGAGTAAATTTCTGTTATATATTTGATTTAAAGGAATAATAAAGCAAGAATTGTGCTTCTTCTTGAACCTCTTTGTTTTTCAGATTTTATGATTAAATTCTTGTTAAGTTGTTTAATCATTTGATAGTGAAAGACAATCAAATGAATATGGGCAACTTAGAAGTAATAGATTTTGATTTGTATCGAAAGATAAAGATGTTTTTAAAAAGCCTTGCAGATTTTTGATCTTATTTATCAGTTAAATGTGTTGTTTATATAGCTTATCAAATATCTTCGATTTGGTTTTAAAATTCATTCGTTATTGTGTAGATATTAAAAATGAAAAATTGAGATTTTCCAATCATTATATTCAATTTGATTTTATATTTGTACAAATTACACAACGAGAAGCAGGAAGTTGTAAAGTTGAAATAATGATGATATTTTTCGGATGACAACCACACGATGTTTACTGGCGGACTCAGCTGAAGCGATACTTTGTACGATAGATGTTTCACTAATTGCAAGCTATGGAACTAAAACATGTGAAAATACATGAGACAAAAGAAGTCTGTGAGTAAATACTTTGAAATCCAAGTTAAGACTTAACTTTGCTTTTTATTCTTTTTTATTTTTTTTATAGTCAAAGCAACAACTATTTCTATTCGGAAAGTTTAAGAAAATCAGTATATATTACTCTATAAATTATCTATAGGCTAAATGAAACTGCTCATGAACCTTGTAATTGGTAAAATAACGGTAAACAGAAGTGCGTTAGAAACGAAGGATATATAACATGTGTTAACAGTAAGTCAAATAGTGTGAGAGAGATTTATCGATTGTTTATTATTAACAATATGGATAAATGGAGTATAACATAATGATGTGGAGTAGAAACATGATGTTAAAATAATCCAGGATCCAATAGACATGTTCTATGTGGATGCTAGAATATGAAGGATGATAACAACGAATAACAAATCTTTAAGTCTATAACATATATTTAAAATTTTTTGTGAAACTCGATGTGAAAGAAGTGTTGACGTACTGGTGTAACCTTTTATCAATCTGACACAGACGTGAGAGACGCTAGTCAGAGACTTACAGATCATAACATAAGCTGTTATTATATGAGCACAGATCGTATATCATTAACAACTTACTGTGATATACTAATGGAGTTCCTTATTGTATTTCTTAAGAATTAAGTAAAATAAGAATACATCGTGTTTGACATTTTAAGCCAACAGAGATTGTGGTAACAGCTTTTTAAAATACAATTGAAGTAAATGGAAATGTTCTATATAAGTATTTCGATTTGATATATTCCATTTAGTTGTGAATATAAAAAAGAAGGTTGCGCTTCATAATCAAGAATACAAGACATGATTTTACTTGTTTTCGGTCATCAGAATATCCCCATTGATGTGTTCTGTTGATATTTTGATAGGATGTGCTATCAATGTAGATTTAGTTAAACGATTTTATCGTTTTCTTAGAATTTGTTTTAAAAAATAAGAATATAATTCAACTTCTATTTTGTAGAAACTCGATTGTTAATCAATATTGAAGTAGATAGTGAAAAAAATGAATCTGGTAGAGACATCCGTTTACGATTAAAGTAACTGCATCATCGATTCCATTTTAATCGCACAGGAATTGCATTGAAAGCTTTTTCTTGTTTATAGAACAATTTTTTCAAGACTTTTAGACGTTTGTATCATGAAAGAAATATGCATTCTAAAGTATTTCATAGGATCGAGATCAAAGCTTTGGAAGTCTTGAGTCTGCTCATGTCTAGTAATAAAATCAGATTTTAAAATTTATGTTTGAATTTCTGTTCGATGTCTTAGATCGATTTTTTTAAAAATATTGTACATGTATTGATTGTTACTTACAGGGTTGCCACCTCTTCTGCTTTTAGCAGAAAAATTCTGCTTTTTGAAGATTTTTCTGCTTTTATTCTGTCCTTTCTGCTTTTTTCTGCTTTTTCGCATATCTTGTCTATTATATTTTTAACTAGCACTTTTTATATTATACCACATCAGTTTTTCAGAATGTGAAGAAAATTTCTTATTTTTCGCTGACTGTAAAAAACTGCTAATCTACAACCCTACCAAATAGTTCTGAGACAATCGACAACAGTTTCTAAATACTTTAAGTTTAAGTTGACTGTGAAAGTAAAGAATATGTTTGGGATTATTCTTGAGCAACACGCTATATTTTATTGAACAAACGAATCATTGCTATTTGATGCCACAAAAATAGTATCAAAAATAAAGTATCCAACGACAGAAAGTTCTCGAACAAGTATCTTTTTATTTACCCATTAACTTTTCTTCGATTCCAGACAGTGTCAATGGGAAAAGCTTGAAAGACTGACTATCATAGATGTTTTCATATTGTAAATTATAGTAGGCAGATGTTTTTCTTAACCAGGTTTTCCGCTGTAAAAATGCTAGCGATCTAAAAGAAACTGTTAAAAAACTACTGTGAAATAGGAGAAATTATATCTTTTCTGCTTGTGTTGAAGAGCAAGATAAATATATCAAAACTGTACATTTTTGGACTTTGAGTTACATTAAACAATGTACCACAATCTAGACAAAATAGAAATCTAAAATTTTAAAATATTTTAGCTATTTTTACGTGAAAAAAAGTAGTAGGATAGACTTTTGTTTTTCTCTATCATCCAATGCATTTCTTTGATATTTGAGAGTCCAATAGATGAGTTATTTTGTCGAAATGATTCTGCTCTTCAAAACAAGCAAAATTACGACATGATTTATCCTCTTTCACGGTACTTTTTTAGCATTTTTGTAGCGAAAAACCTCGTTACGAAAAACATCTGACTACTATAATATGTTAAACGAATACATATCTACTGTAGTCAGCTTTTCAACCTCTTTCTACTGATAGTATTTGAAAGTGAAGGAAAGTCAATAGATGAAAAGAACGAGATTTGCTACAGAACTTTTAGCCGTTGAATATTTTATGTTTGATACTTTTCTCTTGGTCTCAAATTGCGAAGATTCATTTGTTCAATAAGATATGAAACTTTGCTTAATAATAGTGCCAAACTTATGCTTATTTTCAGATTCAACTTAAACATAAAATATTGGAGAACTTTTTTTTGAGTGTCCTAAAACTTTTTGCGAGTGCTGTATAAACATATATTGTGCAACGAAGATTTTTTTAAAGTTATTAAATCAGATGTAAAATGCACATTCAAAAGAAAACGAATTCAATAATTCTATTTTCGTGTTTAACTAGGTTTTTTCTTGATTTTGTATAATCAAGACTGGGAGTTGGTGTGAAATTCTTTGTGATTTCATTAAGTCAAAGCTTAAAGGATTGTTTCGCAGCAGAAACACACTTTCTGCTTTTTTTTCTGCTTTTTGACAATAAAACTTCTGCCATTTTCTGCTTTTTGTAGGCTATTTTCTGCTTTTCGAACTTTAAAAGGTGGCAACCCTGGTTACTTACTTGCATCGAAGATTTCAGAATTTTGTCAGCACATTCTTTTCTCGTTAATTTATTATTTTTTAGATTTTCTATTCACATATTTTCGTTTATTATAATATGGTATTTAATCAGATTTACTTGAATGTTCAACTCTTTTCTACAAGAGTTCAAATGTGCAAACATCTTGATGGTTTCGTTCCTCAAATTTATTTTGTACTTAGTCAGTTATGGCTTATACAAACATTTATTTGTATGTTTTATTGTATAAAAGCAAAGAAATTTTTTCCAACTACATTAAATTCAAAACATTTCGCTATTTTACAATTTAATTTTGTTTTATTAATGCATAGTATTCTATATATTGTTGAAATATTCTATACTCGTCTTATTGTATTTAGATTCATTTCATTTATTCATCATATTATTGCAATCATTATATTTATTTTGATTTTGTTTCAACAAAATATGATTTGTGTATTTTCTCTAATACCTTATGTATTTTATTTACTTTATTGGTATTTTCAAAGTCAATATGATTATCTATTATATGTTTATAATGGCTCTCTTATTGCCGTGACACTTATTATAGGATGTTTCAGTTATTCAAAAGATGATATGAGACTCAAAATAGGTTTTATTACTTTATGTTTATTTCAATTTAATATATTTACATATTTTTATGAGAATGAATTGAATTTGTTCGAAAAACTGAAAACTTTTAAACTGATAAAATCATTGATTTTCTCTTTCTTATCAACAACACCATTTTATTTTTATTTACTTAACATTAAAAAAATAAAACTGTTTTTCAAATCATAAAATCAGATTTCTTTTTTTCGATACTACATTATCAGTAGACTGAATGTTGAAACGAATCAAGTTAGAGAAATAGATATAATTTGTCGAGTTTATATTCAAATTGTGAAAAGCAATGATACAAGAGAGTTTCTATTAGAAAAAACACAAAAAATAATATGTGTTTAATTCATTGCAAACTATTTTAAATTAGAAAACGAAGTTTTTCGTTTTCCCATCTTTTAAACAAAAATCCTCCAATATGTTAATTAAATCCAAATGCTTGATTCACTATCGTCAACGATTTTTAAGGCGCATCTTTTTTACTTAAAGAACTTTAAAAAAACTAATATTCAATTATTGATTGAACTAATTAATTTTCACTCGAGATAACATAATGAAATTTTTCATTAGAAATATTACATTGACGCTTAATAGTTTTCGGTTTTTATAAGCGTATGAATTACATTATGTATGTTAAAGGTTATTGAACTTATGTATCACGCTTTTAAAAACATAAGTCTTATAGAAAAAACAGATTTAACGGACTGTGCTTATTTCAAGTTCCATGTGATAATAAAAAAAGAGTGACTGTAACCGAAACTTACGGGAAATTTTAAGATATCTTCGAGAAATATTTTATCGAAATTCTTTATTCAAATCCTTCCAGTCAAGATTTGGACAAGGGTGCGGATTTTAATGAAAGAAGATAGACACTGACAAACACCCACGACCACATTCTACTGATTACAGATCCTATATGAGTCATACTTTTGTTATCAGATTCCGAAGTCATCTATACACTTGAAATATATTTTTGATTCTAAAAATTTTATATTGCAATTAACAGATCAAAAAATTCTAAATTTAATGAAATAGATCTTATTACACGGCAATTTCTGTAAACTTGACTTTTAGACTGAAAACTTTTTGCTCGTACAACTCTCTATAATTTTGCTACAGAGGTGGTTTATCATTGATATTCTTACCAGAGATGGACAAAATCGCACCGCGCCTTCCCGCGCCGCTGCTCGCGCCTAGGCGCTACCCAGATCTCTCTTTCTCTTTGCTCTACCAATCAGTTTCTCAAACTCCACCGAATACCGGGATGCTCTAAGCATGCGCTCATCGAAGCTCAGACTAGTGTAGCGTAGGCGTGAGCAGCGGCGCGGGGAGGCGCGGTGCGATTTTGTCCATCTCTGATTCTTACATCAAAATTGTCACTCGATCTGTTTCATTTTATTTTATTTTCACATGTCATTGTTCAAGATCTATTCTTTATAAATGATCTTGTTATCTTATTTAATCTGTTTTAGATTTCTCTCTAGTAACAAGGTACAATCTCATTTACATGAGTTCTATGTTGTCGGACAGAAAAAATAAAATTTTTGTTTACTTTATGAACGCTAAAAAGAATATGTCTCAAATATACTCTTAAAAATCAGTTCTCTTTATGTTTGAACAATTTGTTTAAATTGAATATTTGAATAAAAATAGTTGTTCGATTTATATTTATGAGAGATCAATGTTTTTATGAACACTATATGATATAGCTAGTCGTTCTTGAACATAGATACATCATCATGCTGATCTCTTTAGCAACAAGTCTCTTTCTAGATGCATTATTAGTAAAACGAGAGAAGCTAGTAATGAGCATATTATAATAATGTTGATTTAGTTGTTCTAAAGTATATTATATGAAAATCTTTTGAATTTATTCTTAGGAAACAAAACAAAAACATATAGATGTCACTAATGAGAAGTACATCTACTATTAATTGGAAGAAAGAAACGAGTTTTTCCCTCTCTGACAATATGCCATATATGTTTTTCTTTTTTTTACGCATTCGTTTTCTGCAATTATCTGTGTGACATATGATTAAATGACAATAATTCTCACAAATTGTACGAAAATACAAAAAACATGAAAAGTCTTCTATCTCTTCTATGTTCATGTGAACGAACCAATTTCAAACAGAGTAAGCTTCTATCTATGCTAATATTGATCAGAAAAAAAATGATTGATACGATTAAGAAGCAATATTTCACTGACAATCTATATAAACAGACATTTTTCTCTTCTCTTCTTTATGTGTACTTATATCAATGAAGTAATCGTCCCAACTATCCTCGATCTTAGTCTTTCACTGAAGAACATTCATTGAAAAAATTACAATCATAATTATGATTTTGTATCAATATTTTTCTCATTAGTAACTTGCAGAAAAATTTGATAAGGAAAGTATTCAAACATTTAGGCTATGTCTATCGCAAGCGACGAAAAATATTTGACAAAAAACAACAGTCTTTTGCCTAAATAATTGTTTTTTTTTGTTCTTTTTAAAGCATCCTGAGATAGTTCATGAGTCATTCATATGACGGTATTCTAAATAAACACTATTGGTAACCTATAGTTCACTATAAAATCATATCTCAATATTTTTTGTCTGCTTAGTATAAAATAACCTAGGCGAGCAAAGGATGGATAAAAAGACTAGTCTCATATATAATCCTGACGGGACGTCCAATATAGTCTTTTTTTCAAATCGGACTACAACATGGCTAGTCTGGAAAAAGTTGTCGTCCATAGTGCCCATCCAGACTATGTAACTGATGGGCATCATTAGCTCTGACAAGCCTAGTCTGTTTCCCTAAAAAGACTCGTCTAGGGCTAGTAAAGAATCACTAATAGGTGGACTAGTCCTGTAGGAAGACTTTTTGAGAAAAAGACTAATCAGGATGGGTAATAGCGACACGACATAGGACAAGTTGTAGTCTTGTGTAGTGGACGAGATCGAACTATTGAGTTATATGATCAACTTCTATATGTTCATAATCATTCTAAGATGCTATTTAATATAGTTTTATTCCAAGTTTTTTATGTTCACATTTAAATAAAATAAAGTCAGAAAAATTTATATTTTTTGATTATTATTATTAAGTGGGAATAATTAGTTATGTTAAAAAGATAAATTTTAAATACAAAAATAAAAAACAATTTATATTGAGAAGAAACTTGATCTTTTCATATCATGATTTAGTTTACCTTGAAATTTAAATCATCGTGTCTTCAACTAACAATTAAATTAACTTTGCTTCATTTAAATTTACTTTTAAATTTAAAAAATTATTAGAATTGATATTTAAAAAAAAACTATGATGCAAAAAGATTTCAATTATTTTTAAGTTCGTTTTTTTTTAATTTAGTACATCTAATAATTTTAAAATATATAAATTAGCACTCTTTGCTGCGACATAACTGTTGTTCTTTGTAGTTACTTCCACTTTTTATTGTTTTGATATACTTTTATTTATTTTCAACATATGAAAATACAAAATATAATAAGATATATCAAGACAGATAGAAATGCACAAACTATACTGTCTATCTTTGACATCACTATTAATTATGACAGATTCTCTGATTGTTGCTCTTGAAAGAGAAAAAACCTAATAATAGTAGTGACAATCAACATAATTTTAATATAAAATAATAATGCATGTTATTAATTTCCACAATCATAATATAACAGATTATGCTTAGTTATCAATTTACGAAGATTTGATTACAAGACAGGCAATAAAATGATTGCTGTTCTATTATCTAGTCCAGGTTCTAAATGCATATGATTATCCATCGATTATTTTTAATAAATGATATAGATGTTGAAAAATGTTTCTACTTGCATTCTACTTCTTTTCTTTCCATTGTTCATCAATTTAAACAAGTTTATAGGATAATTTAGTCTAAAGAAAGTGACTTGATTAGAGTCTTTCAGACTAATCTGGACCAGGATGGATGACACTCTTTAAAAAATGATTAGTCGTAGCGAATGAAGATGACGCGTCGGTATAGTCCTAACTACTATCGAAGACGTTTCAGACTAGTGAAAGTCTTGTGACATCGACTGGTTTCTGATTGTTCACTGAATGGACGGGAGTCAATTTTGTATTTTAGACTGTATAAACGGACGTCAGTTCATTTCTGTGTCCTAGTCTCCGATCAGGATGCCTATCAAGTTTCGAATACTGTCGGGTTGAATGTTCGAATCCGCCTTCCACCTGCTTCTTTTAGTCCTCCGACTAGTCCAGATGTGTTTGAAAAACATTTCTCCTAAAGATGACTAGTCATGACAGGTGTGCAAGACGTTTCTGACTAGACTTGACGGGTGTTGTGAACATTTTATACTGATCATGTTGGGCGTCTTTCTTTATTTTTTGCTCACTTGGGAAGAAAGTACATAAATAACTATTTTAGCTGATAAATTAAATAAAAATTCGAATAATGAAGAAGATAAATTGGAAACCAGGGATTTTATTGAAAATGAAATACAAGATTTTCCTCCAAAAATAACTTGGAAACATCTTTGGACATTTGATGAAACACAAAATGCATTATTAAAATCACCATTTATTAATATGCCTACTGAAATGATACTTAAAATATTTGAATTACTCTCAGTTCATGATCTAGAAAATGTTTCATTAGTTTGTCGATATTTTAAAATGATTGTTGATCATGATATTATATGGAAAACAAAATGTAATAGTAAGTCATATTGATCTTCTTTATTTTTGAATTCATTTTAAAAATAAAATAGTATCAAAAAAATTAAATTCCAAATCATATAAACAAATTTATATTGATTGGACTTTTAAAAAGTATCTTCGAAATCAAGAATTAGGAATACTTGAAAAACAATATCGAAAAATGAATATAGGTTGTGGATTGAAATATTCATTTTCTCGATATCCTGTTCAATCAAAAAATAATGAATCATTTTTACCTATTCTTGGATTTAATCAACATCCAAATTCATCATCAAATATGTAAGTTAATATTTGATTCATTCAAATTTTAATTATCTTCTACTTAGGACTATTCAATTATCAGTTAATATAAATAAAACTGCTCATGTATTAATATTATTATTAGAAAAAGCTTCGAAATTTCATAATAAATGGTGTAAATCAGTAATATTACAACAAATGATTAGACGATATTATCGTTTTATGCAATTAAAAGTTTTATATCCAACAAAATTTCTTATTCCAACAATTGATATTGAAATCGTTTGGCAAACACATCTTATAAGACCTTTAATATATCAAAATGATTGTCTTCGATTATTTCATCAAATTATTGATCATACATTATTATTAAATTATACTCAACTATCTTTTAAAGAACAAGCTTTTTTCGATACTTGTCATTTATATGAAAAACATTTTCATGAACAATATTGTACATTACCATTAAATAAAATATCTTCATCTAATTATATTGATGAATTTCAATATTTAATTCCAATTTATTCTTATTGGGATGAAACACATTTTAAATTTTCATTATATCCTATTAATGATTATGAAAATCCATTTTCATTTACAGAAGCTGATCTTATTCTTGATGCAAATTGGATAAATTCATGTAAAATTTCTATGAATCATATCTATTTCAAAATATACATGGATTTGTGGAATATCGATCCATTAAAACCAATTAATTTAAATTCATCAACAATGAAACGATTAAAAAAATCTTATGAAAGATTTTTATATATAGCAGCAAAATATCCACCAACTAAACAATATGATTTTATTCATCCAACATATGCAGTAATTATTTATAATAATGATTAATTATATTATAATAAAATTTTTATATTTAGGTTGATATTATATGGCATTGTCATATGCAAGAACCTTTAAAATATGCTAATGATTGTAATCATCTTGTTGGTTATCTTATTGATCATTATCCATGGCCATCAATCGATAAATATCAAATAAAACAATCTTGTCAAAATCTTAATCGACATTGGAAAGAAGAATTTCAAACTGATATATCAGTAGATCATATTGAATTGGATTAAAATAATCAATTCAAAAAATTGGTTCAATTAATGTTGAAAATAAAACTGGCTTTATTTTCTAATAAAGGCCTCCCCCTTCTGTCAAAAACCGATCTCAGCCCAGGAACATTCATAATGCCTGAAATTTTTCAGGAATGGGTGTCCGTTTATATAAGTGTTTGTAGATATTCTCTTTCTCGTAGAGAAGAGTCTAACAAGAATAAATTGTTTGCTTGCTTTCTTGCTTACTTGCTTGATTGTATGTCCGCACTTCATTGATTGGCCCAAGAATAAGGTGAAAATAAAAGGGATTATTTTCCATAAAACTTGACCAAAAGATAATTGAGAGTGGGGAATTCAAATCTGTGATTCGTTTTAATTAATTATTAATCAGTTATTAATTAATTATTAACCTATCATTAATTATTAATGTTTTCTATCAAACTTGACCAAAGGTAATCGAGGATGGGGAATCCAAATCCGAAGTCAGTTTTAATTAATTAATACTTAACTGATTATTAACTTTTTTCAACAAAATTGGTCAAAGGTAATCGAGGATGGACAATCCGAATCGGAGGTCGGTTTTAATTATTAACGTATTATTACTTAATTATTAATTATTTATATTTTTGACAAAACTTGGCCGAAGATGGTCGAGAGTAGAGAACCCACATCTGAGGTCTGTTTTAATTATTAATCATTAATATTTTTTACAACATTCGAAAAGGAGAAATTGAGGGTCAGGAATCTGAATCCGAAGTCTGTTTTGATTTTTTTTCTAAGTACTACTATTATTAGTGTTTTTTTGGAAAATTTGACCAAAGATTTTTCAAATAAAAAACGAAAATCGATGATAAATTTGTGTTAATAAGCTAGCAATGCTAAGGAGTAGTAAAACATACTAATGTCATCATAGTTTAGGGAAAAACTTCACTAGACGAAATTCAAAAACAAGAATTTCAATCTGGAACTATTGTCCGTTTCAAAATAGAATGAACTGAATGTAAATTGAATAACTTTTCA